GCCCAGCCCCTTCAGTGAGGTGAGGGACGGCTTCTTCATTGGTGTGGACTCAGCCATGCCCAGCCCCTTCAGTGAGGTGAGGGACGACTCCTTCACTGGTGTGGACTCTGCCGTGCCCAGCCCCTTCAGTGAGGTGAGGGACGGCTCCTTCGTTGGTGTGGACTCTGCCGTGCCCAGCCCCTTCAGTGAGGTGAGGTTCTTGGGAGATGGTTCATTGCAGCAGTGGGGACTGTGTCTTGACCTAGGAGCAGGGACACACTGCTGAGCAGCCTGTGCTTCTGCTGGAGTCCTCCTGCCTTGTAGAAGGGGGTTGCACCTGGCATCCACGAGGAGAAAAGCAGATGAGGACAGGCTGGCTTCGCTGGTCCCTGCTTGTTCAGTCTTTGGTCTGATCGGCAGTAGGAGAGCCAGGCAGGAGAGGGAAGTAGTGGAGGACCCGTGAAGCCTGTTCCCACCCAGTTGCAGGGTCCTTGGGCAGCTGCCCCACAGTGCTGTGGGCCCCATGAGTGGTGCTGACCTCAGACCTTGCCTCCTCCAGATCTCCATCAGCAGTGAGCTGCACACGGGCTCCATTCCCCCGGATGAGAGCAGCAGTGACATGCTGGTCATCGTGGACGACCCGGCCTCCTCAGCCCCTCAGTCCCGAGCCACCAACTCGCCCGCTTCCATGACAGGCTCCGTCTCAGACACGGTGAATGGTGAGTGGCACTGCTGCTTCACACAGCTTGGGCCTGGCCCGGTGCTTTGAGGAAAGCCTTGGTTTGATGTGGGTGAGGCCCTGATTCCTTCTTGGATTCTGGCATTTCCTTCCAAGAGGAGTGGAATGGAGCAAAAAGGAGGATTTATAGGATGACTCTTTCAATGGCCCTGTCAAATGAAACGGAGAAAGAGAAGATTCAGGGAAAGCAAAAGAAGAATGTTACGAAGATTTCAAACTTCTTTGTTTTCTAACCATCCCTGTCTTTCACATTTCGTCCTAATGTTTGTAGTTTTTGATTCAAGTGCGCTTGTCTAGGCCTTTATCACTTTGTTGTGCGGAGCCCAGTGTGGCTGCTGTTTCTCTGGGAGCCGAGGTTGGAAACTCTGGAGTAGAGGTTGATTCTCCAGGGCCAGGAGTGCACTGGCTAGAGTGCATGGGCGCAGAACAGGTGGCAGCTCCCTGGGGGTCATTTAGTGGTCATCTGTTAAAGAAGAAATTCAGAGTAATGGGACAGCTCTATAGAATGAACAGTTGAGGGGGTCAGGCTGTCTTTAGCTGTTTGAATTCTTAGTAACTGTGGCTCAGCGGCCCAGCCGTCAAATGGAGACACCGACCTCCTGGGAGGCCTAAAACAAACACCCTGAGAGCCAGCTTGCCTACCAGAGTAGGAGGATGTTAGCATGTGAAGAAGTTTCCTTTCTTCCTCTTTGCCCATTTGTTCCCACAGGACTTTCCGTTCAGGAAATGCCAGCTGCCGGACGCGGTCACTCAGCTCGAAGCCGAGGCCGCCCCAAAGGTTCAGGAAGCACAGCCAAAGGAGCAGGGAAAGGCCGGAGCCGCAAGTCCACAGCTGGCAGCGCTGCCGCCATGGCAGGAGCCAAAGCAGGGGCCGCGGCCGCCTCAGCAGCCGCCTATGCTGCATACGGGTACAACGTGTCAAAAGGTATGGAGGCCGGGGGCCTGCAGGCTCCGTTCTGCCCGGGGACAGCCTGGAGACTATCGAGCGCTCCGCTAGGTAGAGCAGGTGGGATACGACCACCCCCAGGCAGCTGCTTCCCAGAGCCCAGATTGGAGGCCTCTTTCTTCACACCAAGCAGTCTCTGCTCTCCTCTTGCCCTTGTGATTTGGTACAATGATACCTTTGAATTGGAAGTCACTGAAAAAGAACTGGATTTTTGGACTGTGCTACTTTAAACAGTACGAATGTTTCCTGCTTTGAGAACTGATTGTTTTCTTCCTCGATGTTTTTCTCAGAGCCACGTTTGAGTCCTCTGGGGCAGCACAGTTAACATCGATCCTGCTCTGCGTGCTCCTGATATCTCATGTACAGTAGAAGTATTATAGGCATAGATAGGAGCCCTACATGGGATGTGTTTAACAGCAGTCTAAGGCAGTATGCGGGTAAGGGGAGAGACAGGGAAGGGTCTTAACTGTGGTTGTAGATCAGAAGAAGGAAGGAACTGCTGGGCCCGATGATGAGAAGGCTGCCAAGCTGTAATTCAGAAAGTTTGAGAAGGGAAGTGGCTGTCATGGCTGTGACCTATGAAGGATAATTGTCCAGTGGAAGGCAGGACTCTGAGACGGTGAGAAGGAGAGAGATTGGTGTCAGAGCCCATTTACAGAACTGTCTGCTTATTCAAAACATGGGTTAATATTTAGCTCGTAGGATTGTTGCAGGAAGTAACTGCAGTATTGAATAGAAAGTGCTTGGCCTATAGTAAATGCTCAGTAAACATTAGTTCACTTCTCCCTTCCCCTATTGCGGGGACCCCAGCCTTTATTTGTTCATTCAGCAAATAGGAAGGCTAAGAGTCTAGCCCAGTGTTTCTTAACTTTTTGCCAGCTCGTCCTTGAAAAACCATCATGCCGGTAGTCAAGGCAACCGTGGCAGGGTCTCACCCGTGGGTGGGACACAGCATGACGGTCATTGGGGTTGCTCATGGAGACCTGGACTGAGGGGCTGAGGGGTAAAGGAGTCAGCAGGTGGGAGAGTGTCCCAAGGAAGATCAGCAGTGCTTGGTCACTGGAAATGGAGAACAAGGGAAACGACTAACTCAGAGATGACCCACAGCTCCTCTGTGGATGAGGAGAGAGGGCGTCTGCCCACCGAGTGCTTAGATTTCTTTTTAAGTAAACTAAAACCAGTCCATAAGAAACAAACGAAGCGCCGTAAGATGACATGTTTTCAGATGTAAACGGGTTTGGCTGTAAGTCAACAGGGAGTTTATTGTTGTCCCAGAGCCATCACCAAAGATGGCGGGTTTGAGCTAAGTCTTCAAGTTGGAGAGTGGCAAGGCTTAGAGAGGAGGGTTGGCCTCGTCCAGCGCGAGGAGAGCTGCATTAGTGTGGGCGCAGGATAGAGCCTGGGTAGCCTTGTGCCCTCTGGCCAGACTGATTGGCAAGTAGAGAACATCTGAAGTGAGGGAAGCAGCTTATCACAGTGGTGTCCCGAGAAAGTGCATCAGAGTCCAATTAAAGTTGTGGATCTCGTCCCCCAGCTTTGGCTCCCGCAGATGATACAGTGTGCGCTCTGCCCTGAGCACCAGGCTGACACTTAACTCCATGTGGATGAGATCGTGGGAGAAGGGCTGGTGGATGTAGTTTTTCTCTTAAAAACCTTTTACTGAAAAGACAGTTGACCAGAAGAACAAGCAAACGTGCCAGGAAGAGGTTGACCGGATGGAACTTGCCCGTCCATCTCTCCCCCAGGCCAGACTCCATCACCAGGGCCAAGGCTGGCAGGCAGCTCAGGCAGGACAGTTCCTTACACTCTGCTTGTCTCTGTCTGTCCCCACAGGAATCTCTGCCAGCAGTCCTCTGCAGACGTCCCTTGTTCGGCCTGCTGGCCTTGCCGAATTTGGACCTTCAAGCGCCTCTTCTCCCTTGAGCTCTCCTTTGAGCAAAGGAAATAATGTTCCTGGGACTCCCAAGAGCCTCCACATGACCAGCAGTTTAACCACAGATTCCCTGGTCCGGAAACAGGGCAAAGGCTCCAACCCCTCTGGGGGACGGTAACCACCTGGGCCCTCAGCTTCCTTCAGCCAAACCAGGGACGAGAGTCCTTGCCAGCGAGCGGTGTTTGGATAGCTTGCCCAGTGCAGCGTGTTACACCCCAGGACAGAGGGCAGAGCAAGGGGAGGACAGGCAGGTGGTTGGTATGAGCACTTCTATCACCTGTGTCCCAAAGGGGAGCTCTGGGGTCGCCTAAAGGAAGAAGGCCCGGGGTCAGGGATGAGCCCCACCACACCTCAGATGAACTTGCTAGCCAAGTCTTAACACCTCTTACCAGGGAAGGGCCTGAGGTCTCACCCCTTTAGATGCTCAGGCACACTGTCTCCATCCCCACTCCACTCTTCGGCGCTGGCCGTGTCCTGTGCAAAGGCTCTGCGTGCTGTGAAGAATGTTCCATGGTGGAGGCTTCTCCTAAGGTTGTGATTTCCTGTAGAACTAGGGAAGAAGTCACGTACTGGCATCCTCGGTCTTTGGGGAGCTCTTCAGGTCTCCAAACCCCATTTGCCAGGGTGTTGTCATTGAAGAGAGCAGTGAGTGTGAGAGGCGGTGGCTGTCAGAATGACAGAAGGCTGGAGGAAGGGCACCGGTAGGCAGTTGTTTTCCCAGCCTCTCCTCCCCAGTCCTGCATGGTTCACGCCAGAGAACCTTCAGGTCCCACCAGCAACTATAGCAGCAGCTTCCACCCAAGGGGCTCCCAGAAGCCAGTCCAGAGACCAGGAACCCCCTCAGTCAGCAGGACGTTCTCACTGCCCCTCTCGCAGACTCCTCTTTGCTCTTCCTGAATGCACAGTCCCCACCCCTGGCCCTCAGCCCCCTGCTTGGCTGAATGCACTGTCTGTATTGCACTGAGAAAGGCAGGGACAGGAGGAGCGAGGGCACGCTCGGCCTGACCCACTTGGCCAGGCCCGCTCGCCTGAGCTTGCCGCCCTCCGAGAGAGGCAGAAGGGTGGTGTTTCCGCCTGCCCCCAGCCTGATGTGTCCCTGGTGGAGCAGGTGCTTCTGGGAGGGCCAGCCTCTAATTTGCACACCTGAAAATCGCGGAATTGAGTTTAGATAGATTGATTTTTGAAACTTTTTTGGAGTAGGGAATGTAGGGGAATCGTTTAATTTAAATCATTAAGATTCCCCTGCCCGAACCCAGACTCCTGTGTACAGATGCTATTTAGAGGGAATCAGAAAAATGCCAAGCCTTTTTTCTCTTTGAATGTGCTGTCTATTTTTATAACTGAACTTGTACATATGTATAAAGAGAGACACATCTTTCTTTTACTAACTGGAGAAAAAATCTTAAATAAAATGGAGTGAGATAATTTTATGTACATTGGAATGTCTGTGGTCTTTGCAGCTGCATCATGGGAGCCGAGCGGGACTTCTCAGGGCAGGCGTCAGGAGAGAAGGAGGGCTGAACCCAGGCTTGCTCCTGTGGCCAGAGAGGACAGGTGGTCAGTGGGGCAGGAGTGGACTCAGTGTCTCCTCAGTGGCAGTCTTCACTGAGCTCAGGAATTTGCCTCCAGCCGTCGGGGAGGCCAGGTGCCTGGGCTGCGTGGTCAGACCCTCAGGGTGAGGGCTCTTGATGACTCAGGATGCAAGTGTGGGCACCTTGGCCCGGTCCACCTTCAAGCAGAGTTGCAAAGTGGTAATGTTAATACTGGAGGTTTCTTTCTCCAAAAAGCACAGGTAAGAGGTTATTGTAGCAGTGTGTGCAATATAGAAACTCTCCATCTAGTAGGAACTTCATGGTTCCAGTCTGTAAAACTGTGATGTGTGTGCCCATGTTTATATAAACCCCAGGTCCAGTGCACTGTGAGTGAGTCAGTTAAACCGACTGAAATGCTCGTGACCTGGGAAAGGGACGTACTGTTATCAGAGTTAGCTCTACTTGGGGGACTCACGAAGGAAGCAGGGAAACATGTTCGGAGGGATTCCAGAGACAGCAGGCTTTCCGATCAGTTGGGAAAAGAGCACCAGCTCCCTGCCTGGACGGGCGGTCGGTGTTTCTCTGATTGAGCTACAACACTGATACGTTCTTGCATCACCTTTGAGCAGAGCGCGTGCTGGCCCTGCGGCCTCCCTAGCCTTGGCTCGGCCCGCACGCCCCGCTGGTCAGGATGGACTGGCTCCCAGCGCTGCTGCTCACGCAGTCCCAGGGTCAGCTCTTCTTCATTGTGTTGGTCTCAGGGCGGCACTATCAGATAGGCTGGTTCCTGCTATTCTTGCTGGTAAACTTGACCAAGGCCTCACAGAACAAACCAGTATCAGTTTCCTAACTACCCATGCCCCGTTGTCATCCTCGCTGCGGCTGCTGGTCGGCAGACCCTGTCCGTTTTTCAGCTCTGAGCAAGGTCCCCCATGATATTACTGCTAGATCTCTGCCAGGGTCAGCTCTGAGATCCTCACACAGCTTAGCCCAGATGTGAGTGAATAGGCTAATGCCCTCTCCCAAAAAGAGCGTGAGCTTTGTGTCGGAGCCCTCCGCTCTTCAGTCCTCTCTGTCCCCAACACTGCCATACCGCTGTCACCCGTCTGCAGTCGAGTCCCTGAGGAAACCGAAGCCGACGTTTCCAACCGAGGCTGCGCCCCGCCGTGATGTCCCGCTGCTGCCCCCTCTCCCGGCCAGCCTTACGTGAGGGCAGAGCGGTGGGAGCTGAATCTTGAAAGTGAAGGTTCACGCTCATTAACAACTTGAGTCCAGTCCCCAAGTTATGACTCATGCCCTGGTCACTTCCTGTCAGAGGACTTGGCCGCCTCGTGTGAGAGCCAGCTCCCCAACCAAAAAGCTGGGAGGGCTCCTGCCAGGCTAAAGGAGTACCCTCAGCCAGCCCAGAGTCCCCGTCCTGGGGTACCAATCTGGGCTGGGTCACAGTGAGGATGGTCTCTTCAGCAGGGTCACTTGCCACGTGAGCCAGCGCTGAGAACCCTAGGTAAGCTGGATTTTAAGGTTTGGGTCTTTAGGAGGAGGTGTGGCACTCCCAGATCTGCCCTGGGGCTGCTATCCCGGTGTCCCTGCCAGAGGGGTTTGTTGATTCACCCAGGACTCTAGAGGCGCCCCCCTTGACTTGCTTGGGTCTGTGTGGTCCTGAGGGGTTAGACTGGGCAGGGGTGGGGCGGTACCATCTAAGCAAGGAGCTAGGTATTCTTGCACACCCTGCCTTGGTGTCTGCGCCTCGCTGCTGGCCTTCCAGTCCAGCCCACACGCCACCGTGCGCTGTGTCCACCGCGCCAGACCACCTGGTACTAGAACGGATGTCTTTAGTTCCCTGATAGACGTAAAACGCGGATGTTGGACTAGTTAGTGGGTTGTAGCTGTTGTGGGGAGTTTTCCAGATTCTTGGAATGTGCTGCGGTGGCTGTTGTGAGTGATGGGCAGGAGAGGGCAGGCCACCCCTCTGCAAAGTGAACCATCACCTCTGCTTTAACCTGCAGAGAGTTCAGCTGCCAAGAAAAAGAGTTCAGAATGGCCTGAGTCATTCCTAAGGCATTGCTTCTCAAACTTCAATATGCAAATGAGTCACCTTGCCGTCTTGTTAAAATGCAGAGTGTTTCAGGAAGTCTAGGGTGAGGTTCTCTGAAGTTCCAGCAGGTCCCCAGGTGATGACCATGCTAATCTTTGGACCACTCCTTCCGGGACCTTCCTGCCTGCCAATTGGAGTGAACTCTGACCTTTGCTTGCGTGCCTCCGCCCTACCTGGGGAAACCCTGTGCAGGGAAATATACCTTTATTCTCCCTGTTACTCATCTTAATCCACCTGTTGACAGAAAATGAAATCCCGACCTTTCCGGGAAAACTCAGTCCCATGTGTCCCTGTTCTGTTTTTTTATTTAGAGCTTTCAGTACAGGATTCCCATCACTGTATAGGGCGGTTTGGTTTTTTGCTTTGTCCCCTCTCCTGGGTAGCAGCTTTGTTAGGCGTATTAGGTATGGGAGAAGGTCTCTCTGATCTGCTGCTGACCCTGTCCCGCGTGGCCTTCACTGGGACGTAACCCGTCTTTGATTGTTGGCGTTCACGGTAGCAGCTGTTTCCCACCTGGACTCGCTGTTTTCTGCCGCAGTGTCCTCTTGACCACCAGACCCCTCCCAGTCAGCCTTCTCGGCTCATTCCTAAGCTCTCCCCAGGGGCATGGGGAAATGTGACTGCTCTCCCGTGCTTCTACGAGACGGAGAGTGGTGAAGCCTGCGATCTCTGCGGAGCCAGAGTTAGTGCAGGCTGCCTGGTACCTCTGTCTTCACCACGCCGGTGGAAGCACACAGATGTGGGGAGGGCAGGTTCTGTTCTGGAGAACGCAGGGCCTCTGGCTGTCTTGAAGCCGTGTGCCCAGGCACTTGCTGTGTGGTAGCAAATGATGCTGAGAAAGGTGTCTGCCTGGGAGAGAGGTCCCAGCATGGAGGACTCTGGGGTGGCAGGAAGTTGGGCCTCTTGCAGCCCTTCTGGGAATTACCCACCTATTTGCCACCTAGGAAGTGTCTGGGGCACATAGCCCCAGGACTGGGCTCTGGAGTTGCCATTCTCGTGACAGTCCCCAGGGTGAGGTGGAAAGCAAGGCAAGAGGAGGGAGGACATCCTGGGGCCCACTTGCTGGTTGTCAGGGACCCTGAGGAAGCTGGGTACCTCCCTGTCAGCAGGCCCCTGGCCGCCTCCAGTGCTCCCGCTCCTTGCTTGAGGTCCTGGGACTTAGCCGGCCTCTCTTGCTTCTTTAAGCTGCCACCACCCCCTTGCTCACTCTAGTTCCCTTTCCTTATGACATGCTCCTGCTTTTTTATATTAAAGGTTTTCTTGCTCACCAGAGCAGACACCAGGTAAAAACAGTACTGACAGGAGAATTAGAAAGCTTCAGAAATCTCTGACGGTTCTCAGAGTCCCTGGTCTACAGTTCTAGCACTTTGAGTGAGACAAGCAAGCGTTCCTGAGTGAGAGGCTCCCAACGCTCGCTCCCCTCCTCCTGGCTCATCCTTTCCTCCCGAAAGGCCGGCAGCCCGTGCTCCTGTGAGCGCCTGCTGGCCGGGCTCCCATGCCTCTGCTCTCCAGCCCCTTGGGATTTCTCTGTCCTGGGACCCAAAGGTCAAGAATGAATGCCTGGCCCCAAGGGCAGAGGTGGCCTCTCTGGGTCTGATGTGACTAGGGGTGACCTTCAGCGGCCTCTGGAGGAACAAGGGAAGCGGGGGCAAAGAGGTTCAAGTTGCAGGAGATGGGGGGAAGTTTTCTGAACTCCCCCAGCCCAGCTGATGGCCCCCCAAGGACAGCTCTCTGAGAGAATGCCCAGGAGTAGCTCAGAACGTCTTACGCCTTCTACCACTATCAGCACACAAACACTAATCCCCACCCTGCATCAGAACCACCCAGCTCTTGGCTACCAGAGAAGAGGAAAGAGGGGCTCCCCTCCCATTTTCTAGGTGAGGGATCCTGGGAAGACCACAGGCAGCTCCATGCCTTGCACCTTTGCAGGCCTGAGGGAGGAAGGGCCAGGTAGAGGGATCAATACAGTGAGTTGTCAGGGCAGCTCAGCTTCGGTGTTCCAGCCTTGCGCTCAGCCCAGTGGATGTGGAAAGGGCGGCTGAAGATCTGTTATCTGGAATCATCCCGAATAACTAAGCTGAATTTTAGCCCCTCTGAGCAGCAAGTGTAAGAACTCTCTTTAAGAGATTTATGAATGCCCGGGGAAACGGAACGTACTGCACAAACCTTAACTTGGCAGGTGCCTGCCGGCCCACTGAGCTGTGACTACCATTTGCCCCACACTAAATGGTCCCGACAGCCTCACGGGCCCATGCCTCCTCAGTGCGTTTGTACCTCCCTCGTCTAATAAACCAAACAAAACCAAACCCATTGCCCATTCTGACTCAGTGACCCTATAGGACAGGGTAGAACTGCCCCATAGGGTTTCCAAAGAGTTGTTGGATTCGAACTGCTGACATTTTGGTTAGCAGCCAAGCTCTTAACCACTGCGCCACCAAGGTTCCCCTCTTCTGATAGACCTTTTCTAAAGGTCTAAGTCATTGGAAACCACTTCACCTGATGCAGAGCTTCTGAACCAACGAAAAGAATTCTGAAGAAATAATTGTGGCGTCCCCTAGGAATAGAGCAATTGAGCGTCAGTGCGTGCTTCACCTCTGGCCGTCTCCTGGCCTTCTGCTGGGCCCAGTGACCAGGTTGGGATAAGTAAAGCCTTCTGGTTTGAACCAGTTCACTAAAGTTTGTTGATTTTATTTTACTCTGTTCTCTTTTTTATTTTTTAAAACCCAGAAAATGTATTGATCTAGGGTATTTCATCAGTTGGTGTGTGCACACTCTCTGAAGGCGACGTAAGCAAGTGTAGCTCGTCCTCAGAGGATTGTTTAACGAGGGCAAGGAGAATGACATGGGTGACCTCAACGGCAGTGTCCTTGCACCTCATCTCCACTCCCTCATGCTTTATCTTCCTTATGGGACTAGGTTGATCATCCTCAAATGT